CCCACGCTAGATACATCTGAGACCTCATTCTCACGTCCCAGTCAACAGCACGCGTCATCTGCACCGTCTACGGACGAGACGACAGTCTCACGTCCAGATCAGCAGACCACGCCGCCCTTGACTTCGGATGAGATTGCAGGCTCACGCGACGCGAACGAGACTGCCGTCTCACGTTCCGGTCGCCGAGTACGGTTACCCGTACGCTTCCGCGACTAGCCGCACAGTCAACTACCGATACGGTGTAGGATTATTCCTATACTACGCGTATGCTACACTCTTCTTTTTTTGATTTTCTTTTTGTTTCCTGAGCCCACGCCTTCGACCATCTCCGTTTGGTTCCGTCGACTTCAGTTAACTTTGGCGAAAGCTGGCCTGATCACCCATGCTCTTGTCAACGCACTCAGTCGATATATTGGTTTCGAATGCTTGGCACACGCTTGGTCACGAACTTGGTCGTAACGGTCGCTTCTGGTCTTTTGGCTCAACGTGGTTTCGTCCTACGTCTGCAGCGTTTCTGGTGCGCACCTCTACGAACGCCCTCTTCAGATTCTGGATACAAACCACTCTGGTGTAGCATGCCAACCCAAGCAATAAATACAACACATCGCTCCTGGTACCGTTCTCCGAAAACGACCTTCGTTGGCAACTCGACGATCAACGATCGCTTTCCGGTTCGCCAATTCTTCCGTCCTACAATCGCTCGTCAGCCGATCAGTCCCACGATTCAAACCGCTATTTATCGAAAGTGTAAACCCTTTCTAGCGGGGGGCTCCTGTAGTGACTCACGTTTATCACGAGAACACGACTGGTTTAATAAAAACAATTATTATTACAACCAACTGTACCAGTGTTTGCTTTAATGTGTTTTTGTTTAACTGTGCTAATTATAGCCATTTTGTGCTTCCATTACCTTCCATCATTGTTCCGCGGTTTTTGGTACTGTTCGCACGTACTCCTGTCTTCTGCTTTCGCTTGTACCTTTTCTTGGCACGATCTCGGTATTCGTTCAATACCACGAGATCGCCAACGAAATAAATCTGGTTACGTTCAATCCTCGCCTTCTGATCTAATTGTCACGTGTTTCTTGGTAGCGGTGTTCACAGTTGATCTCAACTCGACGCCACGCTACACAACCACTGACACCATCTTTAATAAGTCTTACCGCGTTCACTGTCACCAACCTGCCTCAAGTCACATAATGAACAACAATCTTCTCAGTGATTATATGTTTGCCTTCGAAAATCATGTGGTTAGTGACCAATACCACGACACATTCACATAACTACTGTTTATTACAGTTAAGAACAGACCAAACGACCAATGAGGACACTATGTGATGAACTAATTTACAAATATATCAAAAAATAAAATGTGAATGCAAATTTGATAAGAGATTTTGGAATGGACATATGCACAAATATGAGGAATAATCAAGGATTACTTGTAAATAAGTAAAGTAATTCTTGGTTAACCCCCTTACACAAATGAAACTTAATTTACCTTGGACGAATATCTACACGACATACCGTCTCAGTGTCTATTATACAGGACTTCAACACAATTCAGATCAAGAGCACGTGACTGGTCTGACTAGAACGTAGGTACATTTACACATTAACAACCGATAGCAATCACGATATAATAAGGTTGGAAAGATGTATACTTCATCTAATACCTGTCAGATTAACTACTAGTCTGACTAGACAAGCAACCAAACATTATTTTCCTCATCCGCACCTCATTAACAAACGCTCGTTGAAGTGAATTTTATGTGTGTTGGGTTAATATGCATTTTTGGATAATTGTTTTCTCCCAACAAACACAAGTTTATTAAGAAGTTAACCACTGGTTTGCCTGAAAACTAATTCACATAATCAAAATATAGTGCAAATCACACTTCATTAGAAAGTCGAATGGGTCATGTAATGTGGGTACAATTGTACTAAAGAATCACGTTAATGTCACTAGTTTTTAATCTTTAGTAAAATCAGATACTTAGGGGAGATAAAGAAAAATATAAAGTTATATCAAACAGAAGTTTGATACAGTTACATTCTTCCTAGAAGTAGAATAGCTCAAACTAACTATCTGATGTAAGTCAACCGCTTAGACTTCAATACATCAATTTGCCTAAGAAACCCACTGATCACAAATAAAACGATACGTTATATAAATGTCATTGTTACAAAAATCTATACTTATTACTACGCAGTTATAACTGATCTTTTCTATGCTTTACGTAATAACTACATAGTTATTACACAGTCATTCCTTTTCTAACGACTGGAATATTGGTCTATTTCGGTATTATTACATTTACCTTTAGTACTATAACAATAAATGAAATCCCTGAATTGTAGATTTCTCACAATGAGACTATCTAACCTATAAGATCTTACGCGGAAGTCACGTCATAGCCTACACCAACTAAGAAATATGAAGCTTAGCACTTCAGAAGAACAAATTTGAGTTGAGTGGTTAGTCATATATTCAATTCAAGACGCGATAGATTATATAAAGTGACCACGCCTACATGGCTGAGTAATTCTGTTTCGACTGACTGTTGTTAACCTTCTAGTAAAACATGTTGAATTTGAATCTTCTCAGTAATTATATGCACGGCTTCAAATAACATGTGGTTAGGAAACAATGTCAGCACAATATGACAATAAATTATTAGGGCAATATAGTAAGCCAGAAAGACCGGTTAAGGACAAACCAATCACTGAGACTCAAGAACAGCAGAAGAGGTAGGGAGAATACGTCGAAGAACTCTCGAATATACCAGCTCAACTGAGCCCACCACACATCGAAACAGCACACACAGACCTTACTATAGCTGTCGCTCCACCAATGATCAAAGAAATTAGCACGGCCATCGGACAAATCAAGATTGGGAGAGCAGCAGGACCTGACAATATACCGGCTGAAGCATTGAAGTCAGATACAGATGTAACTGCAAACATGTCCCACGTTCTATTCAGGAAGAAGGACAAGCGCCGACAAACCGGAAAGATGGAAACCTCATCAAGATATCAAAGAAAGGAGATTTGTATTTCATAGATGACATAACTCTTCTATTCTACAAAGCAAAGATAACATTCCTACAGTCGAAGGATATATGGAACCGAAAATTTGTCAACCAACATCAAAGTCAGGATCTTCAATACGAAATTCGAGACAATCCCACTGTACGGAGCTGAAACTTGGAGAGCTTGAACTATAATAAAAAAAGCACAAGCATTCTGGCTAAAGAGGAAATTAAGAAAAGATACTGGGGGTGGATATGACATACGCTGAGGAAGTCATTAAACTGTATCACAAGGCAAGTGCTAAGTTGGGATTTGGAAGTGAAATTGTTATGTACTTATGGCCTGTCAATATACCTCATAACTAGATCACCAATCACAATGTCGACTTATGCGACTTCAGCCGTGCCAAACCAATGACGTGTCCACCAGCATATGCAGCCTAGGGATATGTATACATAGTCTTGTCACTTAATAATCATCCAATATTATATGCATTAATAACCCATAAATAATTCCTAAGAGTCGCAATGTGGCCACTAGTGACTCGACACCGCGTACACTATTTTGGAATGTAAACTGGTGTAATGGAGGCAGTCAACAGGAACATCTAAAACCTACAAGTCGGTCGTGGATGTAAAGAAAAGCTTACAGTAGTGGAATAAACACAAAGAATTTGTAAGATTATCGCATAATAATTGAGCTGAGCTTGAAAACCTCAACATCGTAACGTGAGAGATTTAAGCACTACAACCTAACTAGCCCAAAACAGAAAATCAAATTTGAGAATTTACAAACTCGTGCTCGCTTGATATTCTGTTGTAAGTTGTACTGTCGTATCAATAACTTAACAAAGTTTATTTCACAACTAACTAAATCACAACAGTCCTTTTGAAAATAATGGGAATCAGAAAATTGTCCACGAGTGTATATTACATAAATGTCATTAAATTACAGGACGCACCATATTGTGGAAAAACACTTGTTCGGAATTTCTAGGTTTTGAATGGATATTCTTACAAGACAATTAAATCTAAGTAAAATACAGAAAAGTAGTTTCAGTCATGAGAACAGGACAATCAAACGAAACAAGAGTAAGTGCTTATAGGCCTAAATGTTTGTTGAAACAGTTTGAAATTAAAGGAAAAAGTTTATGCGGAATGAATATTTGTTTTAAAAAAAACCTCAGGCTATTAGTCATTTTTAAATAGTACGGGTAGAGGACAACAAAAAATATTAACTTCTTTGAAGCGTTGACAGGCGGAATGTTTGTAACCAATGGGAAATCGATCTTCAGTAGACACTCACAGATTCTTCAATGATAGAAGTCTCTTCAACGAAAAGCCTAATATAATAAACACTCTAGGCCTGCCAACATGATGTGTTAGTTTGACGCAGATATGTTACAATTAACGTCTTTATCTGGAAAGTGGTTTTTAATGTTATTTTATATAAACTACAGTTAAATATCTTACTTCTATTAGACTCAACCACCCTCATATGTACACACCCAACTCTGAGATGAACAGCATTAAAAGCAAAGTACAATGAGATTTTAATTTCTCAACAATTCCTGAAATTAACTGTACAATTTGAGATACTGTGAACAATAAAACACTATCTTCATCATTTGATTTACTGAATAACTAGATGAATTTTGAAAAACAGAATCTACAGTGAAATTAGAAACTACAGTTACATGTGGAATTAAAGCATTCGGTAAAAAAAATTGCTAGGAAAATCTTTAAGAACATAATGAAGTACATATTCATTTTGAACTGAAGATAAAAATGAATGACAGAAATAGAGATGAGAACTCTATGTCTAAGTTTGACTGTACAGTAAGAGATAAGGCGTGTTCAAGGATTCAGAGTAAATGTCTTCTAATGTTGTATAATCAGCATTATCATCATCAAACAATATCCACTGCATACCAACTTTAGCTACACAAGTGTAGTGACCACAACTAACCGATAAGCCACTATGCAAAATCATTGCTTGTAGACTATAAGTTCTGGAAGTGAATTTAGATTTAGCAGAATCATTTGTTGCAGAGATATCGTTGTATGTATAGGTTTCTGTGTTTGAAGATGATACTGTAACTGATAAGCGTTCTGGTATATGGACACGATGCATAATTTTTGAACATGTTTGATTAACTCGAGAATATTTAAAAACATTTAAACAAATCAACACATGTGACGAAAGCTGCTGTAATTTTAAGGATCTAGCTTGAACCGTGTGTTTACCACATGATTCACATTTTGTTGATGAAGCAACATGTTCAATTCTAGTAAAATGTGTTTGTATTAGAGTAGATAAATCTGTTCCAGGCTCGGTAATTTCTTCTTCCACTAGTTCCGAATCATTGGACTGTAATAATCAATAAAAAGCATGTAAAGTATGTGTATTTGATGTAAGACTAAATAAAACAATTGAATAATTTGGTTTCGTAAAAAAGAAAGGGCCAAGACAAACATCATTCAACAGTAGTGTTTCATAATACTATCACTCTCAACAACAACAAAATTTCGAATCAGAAAACAAATAAAAGGTTTCTGTCTTATTCGATAAGAACATAGGATGTAAGTTGAAATAAAGATATTTCAATATGATAGGAACGGACTAAATTTCATAGTAGGGTCGGGATAAAATTGGCGTGTTAATAATTCACAAGACTATAAATTAGCAATTGCTTGCGTTTTAAGTAACAGTGGACAATATTAACCTTTTATGTACTCTTATTAATAAGTACGTTAAATCTGTCCAATTATGCTGTCTTTTGATAAGTTATCCGATGAATATTAATTATTCGCAAAATCGGATTCAGACCATAAATGTATGGGTCCAATTTGTCGCATAATGTTAGCACAGACAGATGAAATCATCAGGCCAAATTACAGGGAAGTAGAAGTAGTGACATTATCAATGGTAGTAGGAAAGATGGAAGATGAACAAACAGGATGAGGTTATAAAAGCATCCTGTAGATGAGCACGATGAAAAGTGCATCGTTCACTGAAGCCTCAGAACTATCTTTTACGACACATTCACAATGATATAATCAAAAATACCAGTTAAAGAAGTTGTACTTTTTTCGCGCAACCATAAGTGTACAGAAGTGAGACTATAATTTACGGGCAATAGTAAGGTGACCACGAGGAACGCCAAACATTTACTACATTCAAACAAGGATTATGAATTAGTTTCAGGTGTTTCAGTTACAATTTAGGGTTAGTAATTAGAGTGTTTTCATCACGAACTGAGGACAACTACAGTGTCGAAATCCTACTTAGTTATATAGATGAACGGATTTCGAGTAAAAATCCAAGAGCTGCTACCATGAATCTGATTGATTCGTCACTAAACTAAAGCCCGATCTCGCCAAGCAGTTAGTCTTTACATTTAATAAAAGGATCCATCAAGTAGATGCCTATAAAAAGGTCAATTGATTCAGGTTTTTACTTGGAGTTTACCAGATCTTTTTGAAGAACTCATTTATAATATACAAGTTTGTGTACTTCATTTTGAGCTTTACTTCGTTGATATGATGGTACTACTTGAACGTTCACACCAAATAATGTGAAGCAATAATTAAACTTTAAACATCGGTTAGTGGCTGAACGCTTTATCTACTACTAGGCTTATGAGACATCAGTTCACAACCGTGACACTTAACATCATGATGGAGATTTATAGCTTTGCTGGTTAGATTGTTCCTGGAGCCTACATTGTTATCCTTGACAACATAATCAGTACAGACAGGAGTGAGGTATTCGAATTCATCAACACATGATTGATGTATTTTATTGTCTGCACATTTAATTTTACTTTCTTTTCTATATGAAGTTTTTGCTGATGTTACCGAGAAGGGCAATGAAAATGTCACAATTAAATAGCCTCGGTTAGCGACTGAAATGATACCAACGTAATATTACTGAAAAATATTAGTATAATGCTTCAAGCTTTCAAAGTCCATAGTTTTAAAACAAATTGAATCATTCAATGAAAAAAATTGCAGTAAACTCAACAGTTCTTTAACTACAGTTTACTTCTTCGCATGAAAATTTCCAATCTGATGGGTTCGTTGGGACAATTATAGTAGTAGTACTTTGTATTACAACATTTTCTGGGTGCCATTATATAAAAGGTGAGTCAGAAAAAGGGAGGTTATGTCTTTTTAATGCAACACACTATACTACCTAATCATATTCAGTAGTTTATATCTGCTAGCCAAACTTGAAACTTCCACATACTTCTTTAAGACAATCAACTTTATGATATTGTTTCGATGTTTTAATTAGTTTCTACTCCACATACTATTTCTAACTCTTTTTTCTAATAACTAGCATATTTTCTGCCATTCGGAAGCTTTTTTGATGAGAATACCTTACCAACTTTGAAGATATACCTCCCCAATTTGTTGTTAGTAAAAGTTCGACACAGAACTGTGATGTGATGGACTTTCTACTTGGAATCCTTTAACAGTGTAACGGAAGTCCGGATATCTCACTACTGTAGATCTGCAATAAATCTTTACAGGTTACATGGTTTTCCCTAACAGTACTGTTTTCGAGAATTCACGCACTACTCAGTCAGTGATTTGGAACCGTTTAAAAGATTCTATACATAGAACCTTGAACACAAAGCTGATGTAACTTAGTAAGTACGCTCGAACTTCCATCTATTGTGAAAAGGCTAGAAATTCATCCTTAACCCCACCCGTAAACCTAAGTAAATGGACTGTTGCTTGAAACCTGTTATCCAATCGATAGAGGTGGATAGAGTAAATCGCTATCCTATGGGAGCAATATTTAGTTCTCTTACGTTTTAAAGCTCACTGAGTAAATTCCTGACAATAATTACAGTGAAATGTAAAAGAGGCAGACACAGACTTACTACAGGAATCTTGGTAACAAAACTTGGGTTTTCACTAGGTGCCTGGTCTTGATACAGCAACTCCTGTGGTTTAGTTAGTGGAACGTATAGACAAATAAATTGTTCTTGTCTAGAACTGGAGACATATTGACACTCTACACAAGAAGTGTGCCTTAACATAGTACCTCCAAAAAGACGCGCAACTGCTGACGATGATGATAGACCAGAGTCGTCATTTAAGGTGTTTTCACCAAGGTTCTGTATAGAGTCAGTTGAACAGGACTGTTTATTTGTACTGTAAGAACAAGATGGATTTGGTTTGGAATCCGCGTTCATTGTAGGTTGAATATATCGATCAGCCGTAAAAGTTGATGAATTGCTATATCACAATAATTAGTGGAATATAAGAAGCATAAAAAACAAAACTGTAAGCTGAAATTTATCATTACAAATAGAATACACAACTAGCCATTAAAGGAAATTCATTATCATGTATTTTACAAAATATAATTTGTGAATAAATAGGATTTGTTTTGCCGGTTTACAGGAGTAGTATATAGAAATTTCTTTGAAGCAATTCATATGAGAGTAGAAATGTACAGCACAATTTATTGTGAGTTGTTCAGTTGAGTATACCTAATTAGTGAAACAATCTATATCAGTTGACTTATTTTCCGAGTGATTTAAAATTGACTGTACTAACCTTAATAATAAACATATAAAGCCGAATCCAATGGCTCAGAATATTTCACATAAAAGTATTACAACCGAATACTAATGAAAGTTCTGGTGTAATAGTGCAATAGTTAAATGGTAAAAAGATGTCAAGGAGTGGATTATGTAAAATAATGGATAATGCAAAACACATAAACAGAAAAATGATGACAGGAAGCAAGGTAAAAAATAGGTGACTGTCAGCATCCATTTCAAAGGATCTTGAACTATTCACCGAAGTGATCTAGCTACCTATTACAACTACTTCATACATTCAATATCAGAAATTTCAGTTTACCACACACTTGGAACTCATTTAGTGAGTACAGGTTTATCTACTCAGTTATGAGCTATATTGTGTAAAAACTCTAGAAATACCACCAATAAAAATCATATTGGAGCGCACTGACTGGTCCTGTTTTTAATCAATCAAGGATAGTGGAAGTGATCCTGGAGGGGGGGTCAACAAATTTTCACTCACATTGGTCTTCCGTGTCCTTGCTTTGTGTCGCGGGAATTGTGTTGGTTCCCAATTTCAAGCATTTAACATTGGGACCGGGGATAACACAAGTCATTTCTATCCTTTTACTCCAGTGTATAAAAAACTTTATGTTTCACCTTACGGAAAATCTCGAACAGGAAACAAATAAATATATTTTTTCCCAAACAGATCGTTTTTAACGTATTCCTATCAGCACTAATTATATTGAATGAGATGTAGATCCCTTTTAAAAATACATGAAAGTATTTTCACAATCTTTATACAACAGCAATAGCAACTGAGAGACAACTGACAGGTGGACTGTGATGTGACGATATACAACCGCAGTAGTATCTCAAAACTACCAAGAGATAGTTCCAAATAATCGCAAAGCAACAAAGCATTCAATCAAGGAGGTACTTACTACAGGAAAAAAGTGAAACATACTTACAAAATACTGTCAAATAAAGATATTTTCGTAGGTTATATCAATATGTATTAATTGATCAACCTATTTAGACTGTGATACGCGAGAAAAGCAGACATGACGTAACTGATCTTAAAATAAGCTAACAAAACATTATCATTAGTTAAGTAGTTCTCTTGTTAATGCAATTACTCTTAGTACTATGAATGCTATTCTCTAGAACGAACTCCTATAATCGACGTTGAACAGTTTAGAGCCAATAACGAGAATGACTATCAGAGAAAAGAAAAAATTATATGCTACTGAGTTTCAAGAAAAGAAATCTGATTTCTCTAAAGGCAGATTTACATTTACGAGCTTTAGATGAGTAAGGTATGTAATAACTCTGGAAAATAGGTTTATTCTACAGAAAGGTTTTGATAATTGAAATATTCAAAAAATATGTAGTTTGTTACTTTATATATATAATATCATTCAATTGGATCATATGATTAATACGAATCACTTGAAATATATCGATCTATTTACTGGAAAAATTAATAAACAATCATAGAGAAGAACCAATCACATATTAAACGTGAAATGGTCAGACTACATTCGCTTCTATAGAAACAACTATATATGGAATTTTCTTTCACTAAAGAAAATATGTATTACACATATGTATATTGTGATGCACGTAAATACTACTGATAATCAAACGTATTTATACATCCAGTAGGCTAGTGGTATTTCACATTGTTTCTATCATGTAAGTTATGTAAACTCTACATAATAACTACGAGCAAATATGAAGTCAAGCTGAACTTATTACTTGAGAAGTAAAATAATCTAAAATCATGCTGAATGTTTACTACAGCTAACATTTATTCCACAGTATGAAAATGAAAAAAACTGATACAATGCAAGTAGTTATACGTAAGTTGCTCAGCCATAATAAGAGTAGAACCTGACACTTATTGCCATCTGTTAAAGTCGCGATGCCACGCAAACAGATTAAAATGAAATTATTAACACAAGTCCCAGAATAAGAGAAGTAGTAACAGTATCAGTGATAGTATAAAATATTAAACACAGACAGTGTAATTCAGGGAGAAAGAATTCACAAAATAAAAGTCTTGAAACCCAGGAACTAAAGTCGGTCATCTGCAACGTAGAACCAGGCACATACATACTTGGTTCGAGTTGCTTTATCTCATTAGAACAACAAGGTGAAGACCAAATTCATAGAAGCAGTTACTTAAATGGTAGTGTCATATGAAAGAAGTAGTTTTAATCTCACGGTTTAAAGATAGACAAAATGTCTACACATCTACGCCATTGTGATCGATTCTGAGGCATGTCACTCAGTCTCCGACCCCTAGTTACGATAGTTGAGCGGACCATAACATGGCTCAGACCCGAAGTCGATGACTTTAAGGATTGGTGCCATGTTTTGGTTTGGTGACCCCTAACTTTCTTTCGTCCATTCCCAACTGCTAGTCAGCATTGAGCGCCATAGTAGTCGGTGATTGGATATGCGTAATACATGGACCAACCATCTCATTTGATGAAGATTCACCTCACAAACTGATTTGCCATCATTCCCTAATATCATGCATCTAACTTGACTATTACTTACCTGGTGATCCAAGGAACTGAAGCACGACAAAGAGTGAATGAATTTGCCCTATTAAGGTAGATGTAGAACTTTCACTCAACATCTCCAGTCATCGGTTGTGGTATTCGTGCAGACCTTAGCCAGGCAATCGCGACCTACCAACATGGCTTATTGTAAGAGATAATGATTTCATGGACTAATCACTGTTTTCTCGTGTCGAGGGTGATATTTACGAAATTGAGAAGTAACGCGAATGTATAATGCTTAAACCGGGTTGGTAAGTGAGATGAACCCGCTTAAGGGACTTAGAAAACCCTGATTCCAAACGAATTGTGAACATGGGCTCCACAATCCTGAGGGAACAAATGGTGTGCGAACATATTCTTGATCGCTGGTTACCATGGGATTTTTAAGTCAAAGGCCCGAGAAGTGGCACCTTAAGAAAACCACCTGTTTTGGTTTAGGCAACCGAAGAGTATCCCGGCCCACACACAAATTTAATGGTTTGTGTGGTGTGCATATATATTTGGGGTCCTTTTGTACAAATGTTTATGTGTTTAAATAAAGAAAATTAAAAAATCGTGGACTAATGCCATGTACTAGTTTCAGCACGCTTAATCTTCTAACCTACTTCTACACTACTCAACACTGAGAGCTGAGTAGTGATGTAAGGAATAATAAACATATCGGTAGTATGAATAGTATTAGTTGAGTGATGTTATCGCCTTAAGTAGGGTGATTTAACGCTATTTACATCGCATTAAAAGAAAAATATAAAACCCATTTGGAACAAACAATTCATATAAAGAACGAAACCTTCATTGCACAAAAACATTCATTTTGTATTTAAATAACTACTAAACACTTACCAATATGAATCGAGAGAGAGACTTTGTTGTTTTTTACAACATAACTCTTCTTCATGTAATCGATCCAATAAGTAGTTTAAATATTCAGCTGCATCTTGTTGTTCACCAGATACAAAATGTGCTGGTTTAGTAAGTGTAAGTACAGCTCGTATGTCACGGACAGTTGGGAGCTATTAAAGTACAAATATGTAAGAAAAATTTTTCGTTTTTATTATACCAATTTTTAGATTAATAATATACAAAGATCGCTAACACTTGGACTAATTAGAGTAGGAAATATTGACTCAATAGAATAACACTTAAAAGTCATGCTAATAAATCCCGACTAGTTGAACTAGAACGCAATACATCTCTGAGAAGTCACTCATTATTTGAACTGTCGTTAGATGAGAGTAAACAATTTGGGGATTATGTTTTCAGTGTCACTGAAAAACAATTACACAAAATTGGACTTAAACATTTTGAAATATTGCAACACTTATATGCAATTAAGAAGTTTCCTGAACATCCCAAAGACATGTATTTAATCAGTCTTCTAGCACACTTTCGTCAATCGAAATGCAGGTTTTATCATTGGATTTCAAATTCTTTAAAAGTAACCTCTAAAACCAATAGACTTCATATGCAAATACAATTCGGAAATCTAGTAAATCAAACTAATGATCTTGTTCCAACATCCCCACAAGAATTCCAGAATTTTAAATCCACAGTACTGGACTGCTGTTATGGATAGATTGCCACACAAGGTAATAATAATAACTTATTAGCTAAGAATCGTATGGATCAGCTAATACTCCTGAAAAGAAATAAGGACTTGATCCTAAGTAAATCTGACAAAGGAACTGGTGCAGATAAATGATGTGGTTAAAAATCTGATAAACATAATCCTATCATTTAGAGACTTTATTTAAGCATAATTACATGGTCTGCAAGCTTTTAAAACTACAGGGATTAGTAACAGTCGTTTTTATTCCAACAACTGCACGCATTTTGTAGAAATGGACCACAAGAGGACTCTGCTAAATGAACATCATTACTCGGTCATATGCCCCCAAATGCCATTATATGGCAGAAATTGGGGTGGGTCCGCCCTCCCTCTCGAAATACTCTCACACGGCCACGCATATACAGCCTCTGCCAGGGAAGTCCTACTCACTGCCTTCTCGCACCACGGGTGTTGTTTACGAAAATGAGAGGACGAAAAGCGAATGTCCGGCGCTTTAACCGGATTCCAAACCAATGGTGCACATGGGCTCCAGAATCCTGAGGGAACAAATGGTGTATGAACCAATTTCTTGGTCACCGGCTATTATGGGACCGCATCTCCTCACGATGCTCCACTGCCTTGTGAGCCAGACCTTTAGGTCAAAGGCTCGGGGTGTGGCCCCCCAAGAAAACCACCTGCTTCGGTTTGGGCACCCGGGCAGTATCTCAGCTCGCACACAAGAACATGATAAACTGTCTACTTGTGAAAAATATTCCTCTCCCTGCAAATAACAATCAAGTGTCTCGCATTATTATTATCATTACTATTATCGTTATTATTATCATTATTACTATTATTATTATTATTTACTACATCATTATTCACTTTCTTTCATTCCTACTCTGTCTATCCTTACTTTTCGACTTATACAGCAGCTCGTCTTTGGTGGAAATTCGACTCTATCTAAACGTTCTCGAGTCACTGTCCGATTAAAAATTGTATGTTACCACCGAATATGAGTACTGAAGCAGTTTTTCTGAAACCACGTGCACCATTCAAACTGGCTGCCTTCAACGTTCGCACACTTATGCAGGTCGGACAACAGATAGGGCTGGCTATGTCTTTAGAAAGTCATAATATTGATGTTTACTGTCTATCCGAGACCCGTATTCAAGACTCTGGTGAAGTAATACAAATTCGCTCTCCATCTGTCGCCTCAAAAAGCTTGTTTTACTTGCGTTTTTTGGGGACCCTGTGGCATCTTCGTCTGGTCTTGCTGGCGTTGGTGTCGCACTAGGCGCTAAAGCTGAGACAGCACTAATCGATTGGATCCCCATTAACAGTCGGTTATGTGCTGTTAGATTACAAAGTTCCATCAAAGTGAGAAGAAATCGGCGTGAGAAACGATGTTTTTTCGTCATCGCCTATGATCCGACAGATTGCAGCCCGGTTGCAATCAAGGATTAATTTTACCACCAGTTATCTGTTCTTCTCCAGAAAGTGCGTTCTGAATGTGTCTGTGTTCTAGAACCTGACGTAGTGTGAATATATGATCTATACAACTAAGTCCAGGTCGAAAACCAGCCTGATTTTCTCTAGTCTGCTCTTCACGAGCTTTGGTTAGGCGTCGAAGTATTAATGAAGCTGATATTTTAGACACTATATTTGTCAAACTGATTCCTATGTGATTGTCACAAGAGGACTTTTGTCCTTTCTTATAAACTGGCACAATCAGTGATTGAGACCAGTCAGATGGGATTACGTCCAGTTTCCAAATTCTACCTAAAACGTCAGTTAATCTCACTGCTAATACTGAACCACCATCCTTAAAAATCTCAGAAGTAAACCTGTCAGGGCCTGGTGCTCTCCCTCGTTTCAGATTTCCTATGGCTTTTTCAACTTCGTAAAGAGATGGAGGATCTACATTAACTTGCCATTCAGGTCGACTGGAGATCGTGGGAAGTCGAAGTGTGGCTGAAGGCTAGTTGAACTGATCCCTAAAGTGTTCTGCCCATCGATCCAATCTCCTGGATTGAGAATGTATAATATGTCCATCTTTCTCTGAGATTGTTTCGCTAACAGTCGGTTTCCTAATACCGGTTTCCTTAACAAGTTTGAACAATTGTCTGCTATTACCTATTGCCTCTGCCTTTTCCATCTCTCTTGCTTTCGCTACCCACCACTGTTCACGATCATTGCGCAGACTTCTTGTCAGCTTGCGCTTAAGCTGACTCCGCTCTTCATTATGTTCAGAGCCAGGTGGAATGATTTTCCGAGCATCTATCAGTGCGATAGATGCTGCTGAGATTCAGTGTTTCTCCCTAACCTTGTGGTTTACCTTACTAGCAGATATCACTGCTGTTTCCACAGCTTTCCGGATATCATTCCATGCTGCCTCGGGGCGGGCATAACCTACATGGCTGCTTAACTGTTTTTCTAGTTGTTCCTGAAATATACTCTTAGTAGGCCCCTAAGAGGTTTCCTTGCAGCGTCTTTCCTACGTCCAGTAAGACGCAGGCACATACTCGCTCGTACTAGAGCATGATCTGAATAACGTTATACAACAAATTAAAGGCAGTGAGATTTAGGAATACAGCAAATATTCCACCAACTTACTTGATGTGTATCGAGTGACTGGAAAAGCGAAAATAGATGAGCATGTAAAATACCCTGATGTTCAACTGATGACGTTACATTATCTGACGAGCGTACATTTTCATGCAAATCTGAGACTGACAAACTGAGATTATTCACTGGGTTTGAATTTTGGCTTGGCAAAACAAAGTCAATTTTGTTTGAAAACGAGGTGCAAGATGCCATAACTGTGCCAGTCGATGAATAAGCTTTGTGAAATCCAAATAAGGCCCGACGAAACTCGGAGCAGTGATAAAGTAATTGCAGAGCTGCATTTGCATAACACGTATTTCCAACGTTTAATATACCTTTATAACCAGCAACTGAACGGTTTGTCTTCATCAGTAAGAAAAGTAAGGTCAGGTAATAAAATTAATAATCAAAAAATGTATTAAACGGCAGCAAATCTAAGCAGCATTGTAACGACTACCAACCTTTTGTTCAGACTGATGTTGACTTTTTCGGTTTGAAAAGCATAAAGATGTTACGCAGCTTGTGGGTAAATATAAAGCTATTATTTTAATGTTGTGCCTAGAGACAATCAGTGAGAATCCGTGCACCCAGGATGCAGATATCACTTGCTGATGAGTGTCAGTTACCACAGAACTTAATTTCACGATCCCCTATCAAACGTTTTCTCTTAGCTATTCAGTCAGTCATATGCGGCGTAGAACCCGTCATACATATGGATCGGTTCAAATTGTTATGCCACTTCAAGAGTAGGATGAAGTGATCAACGCGAATCCCAGAGTATTAGGAAGAATTAGGTATAAACGACATGACTCAAGAAGAGAGTGTGAATGAGGGGAATAAAAAAATATAAAATGAGTTCAAAGCTTAGGATCCAGGGCAAGACTAAAATGGAATGCATCTAAATTAGGATTGATTCTGCGGCGTATCATCCAACACTTGGAACTATTGGGTACAACAAATGAGAGGACCTCAACATGTTATTCTAGACCTGCCAATATGGTTAAATCAACTGATAACAAATCTTGGATTGGTCGCCTTTATTTTTCTCCCAATCTACTACTACACTGGCAAACGTCCTGCGCCGAGGTGGGTGGTGGTTAGGGATCCCCAGTTGATAAGCATTAACTATCCCAAAAGCCCTGGTACGGCCGAGAGTGGGGAGAGTCCGCTCATCCTCTCGAAATCTCTCACATGGCCACGCGTATATAGCCTCTGCCAGGGAAGTCCTACTCACTGCTTTCTCGCACCACGGGTGTTGTTTACGGAATTGAGAGGACGGAAAGCGAATGTCTGCCTTAACCGGCTTGGTGAACACCTAGGTGAGTTGGAAAACCCTGATTCCAAACCAATGACGCATATGGACTCCAGTATCCTGAGGGAACAAATGGTGCATGAACCAGTCATTGGTCACCGACTACCATGGGACTGCATCTCCTAACGTCGCTCCACTGCCTTGTGGATCAGCCCTTTAGGTCAAAGGCTCCAGATGTGGCGCGCTAAGAAAACCACCTGCTTCGGTTTGGGCACCCGGGCAGTATCACTGCCCTCGCACAAATCAAATGAGATTTGTGTGACGCATATGTATTTGGTGCCTCCTTGTACCAATATCTATGTGTTCAAATAAATATAAATAAAAATTTATTATTGCTCACCCAGTGGCCCCAGCATGTGCGAGAGACGCTTTGAAGGTATGTATGATCAAAAGATAGTAGCATATGAATACCACTTATTTTTAAAGGCTGGTTTTTCATATACAGAATAAAACGAGGTGCCCTACAGTAGCCTTTTCAAACATCATCCTGAACTCTTTGGTGGTTCACTTCTTCGTGCTGTGATGTGGCAACTTGTGTCAATGCAAATCTATGCCAAGATTTACAATGATGAGTGGTTAACTAACTGCTGGCTCTTAGACCAAGTGACGTAGCAATCAACTCAAATTTGAAGCACAAACTTTAAAATTCCATGCATTGAGCTACAACTCCAACGGTTTAATGCTTGGTGGGTGTGCTTTTGCTATGCGATATCTGTATCATAGTCTATGTGCAAACAAACTAATTGTCACTCAATATCTTATTTCAAAACTTAGTTGATACTATGGAAAGCAAACTGAGGGATTGTATTACTCATAAAAAAGTCTCCCCAAACCCCAAAATGTAAGCATTATTATTATTATGTACCAGGCAATAAATCTGGTTCAATCCGGCACACAATAAAATGGTTGACTTATAAGCTAGAACGTCAAGATGACAATATATGAATGATATTCCGACAATTCTTTATATGCAACATTTACTAAAGTCAAAACCTAGGCAGATACTTACTTTCACAGTTGTTGGATGTATACTAACTAGTCGGATTGTTGAAGTTAAATTCCAACGCTCCCATATTTTTCGAATACGAATTCCAGCTTGAGGCCCAAACTTTGTTAGAAACTCCAATTTATATATTTTTGTTCGCGTACTCCAAATCTCAGGACTGTTTTCGTCGTTGAACTGGCTATGAAATTTACCTAGCAAAGTAACTAGATGCTTCTTCTGTATACATGTTCTTGATAAATCATTACCAGTAGAAATAACTAGAGGATCAAGTAAGCGTGAAATTGTGTACATTTTAAGCAGAATATCTTTGCATTCTTCATTTAATGGGTCGTCAACATACATACTAAGCAGTTTGCTCAGAACAGGTGCTAGGTGTGAGACTATATCATCCGCATATTGATCATGCTTGTCATCGCCACTGAGAATGAAAAAGGCCAAAGCATATACAGTTGAATCATGTGGAAGCGACAAACGGCCCATGAGTTCTAAGACAAATTTGAATTGCCAACACATGAAATCTGACCAATAGTTGGTTAAAGACTGTGACCCAGTAGGAGGAAACTTTTTGAACATTTCGCACTGAAATCCAATAAGCCAGAGGTCTAGAGAAGACCGATAAGTAGCCAGTTCAGACCAAGTGAGCCACAAAGTTAGACGACGCAATACCGTAAAACATGTCTCAATGTTGGTGATATGACGTTGACCAAGTTGATCGATAAATCTACAAATAGTTTCCGACAACAATGAATCGTCTGAGCAAAACTCCTGAAGTTCAGACAACATGGAAGCGACGGAAATGTAATGGCAATCATAACTGGAACTGACTAAAACATCCTGAACCAAAGAAGTGAGACGTTCAGTCAGTATACATGTGTTGGACTGGTAACTGCTAAGTTTTGGCTCTGTAACAAACGTGATTACCGATCGTGCGATGGACTCAACAAGTTCAATATCAAATGAATAGGATGGAAAATTCCCGGAGGGGAACTGGGAAGATAAAGTTACCAAAACTTGAAAAATATTAGATACAAAGGTCAAGTACATATCATCACAGAGATCATAGGAAGTTGACTTATGCAATGACGACTTGACAAGAGCGTGCTGAATAAGAAAGTACAATTGTTTGTTATCGTTCAGAAGATTGTAATCCAAAACAATTTGAAGCCCAGAAGATAAAGTCGACAGACATCCAGGATTTTCCAAGGACAACTGGATAAATATCATCGAATGGCGCTTAAGAATCTTTTTTATGAATGTAGACAAAGCTTCTGGAAATGAATTTAAAGCAAGTGGGGTGAAGGAACTTGTGATCTGCTGAGAAAGATGAATTGTAGAATTATCTGACAAATGGGATTCAATCGAAAATAATAGATCACAAACTACACTCATATATAACTGAGAGTAATCATTTCTACTGTGCATATTCTGAATACAAGTGAAAACAACATCTTTAAAAAAATCCGTTTCATCAAGTTTACTAATATGTTCCCGCAACCTCTCCAGAAGTATAATCTTCGTGCTTTCAGGATGGCTACTGGCTAGCAAACCTATAATTATCTTATCCATAACTGATGATATATATGTATATGAAAACCACGCCCCAACAACAGGACAACAGACCCATCCACAACTGTAGCGCGACTATTCAAAAAGTGACTACTGACAACACAAAACCTTGAGATATAGTTACAAAGTATATTGCTTTCAATATACGGTACCAGATGTTTAGCCCCTAACAAACAAAGATTTTTGAACACTACATTCAAGGTATGAGCAGCAATTTACAGATACGGATTCTTTCTGTTTGCTCTTAAATGGATTGAAAGAGTATTAGAGTAGATTAGTGTCGTTTTCATGTAGCAACTGGTGTGGCCAACTTTTTTTTCATAGTGATGTTCTCAGGTCAAAAGCTTGTCAGTCATTCAAGCAAATATACGACAATGACAGTTTTTCATGTCTGGTTCTCGACGATGTCCTCATAATCAGTTTCAAAATGTAGCTAGAATGTTATCTTGCAGGTTAATAAAAGTGATGAGTGGTGTACAACAGTAGTGAAACTTCATGTGTTCAAATGGTTCAAGTAGTTCTGGAAGGAATGGAAGAAGCTTTCGCTTAACTGGCTTCCGTATATAGTAGCCGGGGATCACCGATACATCCAGGCAGGGAGCTAGGTACATTACCGATGAAAGGGGTGAGGGAAAAATGGTTGGTATTTCACAGTAAGATTTTGTCCTTAGTCCTTTAGAACATGTCAAGTACCCTCTTAAAGGACTTAGGGAAAGTCACTTGAACTGGCTCACTTGGTGGTGAATTCCAGCATTTGACTACTAGCAGAGGCACTGAAAGCAGAAGTAGCAGTAACTGCAAGGATACTCCACATTCTCTTCAATAAGATTTGGGATGAAGAACAAGTACTAAAAGACTGGAAAGAAGGACTTCTGATCAAAATACCGAAGAATGGTGATCTCAGCAACTGTGATAACTACAGGGGCATCAGCCTTCTGTCAATACCGGGAAAAGTCGGCGGCCTATGCTCCATTAGGAGTGACGGACGTAAGTAAGCAAGTAAGGAGTAGAAGATGTGTCAACAGTCCGTTGTGCTGTGTTGAGTCTCCAGTTTCTGGGTTTCGCTCTTGAGGTTTGTGATGAAGCTAAACTTAAGTAGGTATTTTGGGGGATGTTTAAAAGTATCTAGGATGCTGTAAGCCATTAGTAAATCACGTCTAAGACGCATGTACTCCGATGGGTCAAGGTTTAGCGATTGGAGGCGCTCTTCATATGGCTTGAATTTGAATCTCCGAGCTGATTTCGTGGCTCGCCGTTGGATACGATACAGAGTGTCATTATCCTTTTGGAGTGAGGAAGGAAACACTATGTTTCTGTACTCTAGATGGAGACGAATAAAACTGTTGAAGATTATGTGGAAAGTTTTCCGTTGAACTTGCCAAAAATTCTCTTCAATATCACTAGTGCATTTTTGTCACGGTTAGAGTGTCTTCAAATCGTAGGGTATCAGCACTTCTAGATCTTGGTATACCTTTAAAGGGGAGTTGCTCAAGTTTTATCTGTAATCTGCGAAGTATCTCAGATGTACAGCTTTACACTTTGAAGTATTAAATGTAAGTCCGTTATCGTCTGCTCAACCTTGAAGTCCAGTCACATCCTCCCGAAATGTTAGCTTATACTATTGATTGCATACTTCTCTCCAAAGTTTCATATCATCAGCAAAAAGTAGTAAATCTGACGATACCTGCTACGGAAGGACGTTTATATGAATCAAGAAGTGAAGAGGTTCTATTACCTAACACTGAGGGATCCCTCTGGGACATTCCATAGCCTGAGAGAAAGTAAAGTTAACCTTGACCTTAAAATATCGAGTTTTTAAATTTAAAATTAGCCAATCAACTAAAGGTGATTTGATCCCTAATCATTTGAATTTATTGATAAAACATAAACGGTTGACCTTAACAAAATCTTTTGAGAAGTCAAGGTAAATGACGCCAACGACTGCTCCTTCTTCCTCCTAAATGATAGGAATATGGTTTTTCAGAAAAATTATCACAAGAGAGCTGTATTTTCTCCAAAGCAAAATGATATTTTTCACGATAGGGTTGTTGAGATTGCTGAATTTCATTGAAATTATGAGTCCAACAATGCTAGACTATCACTAAAATGTCAGGAACACCGGATGCCAGTTTATTCATACTTTGGGATGCTTCTGCAGTGCGCATCCACGACCCCACGCTTGGAACTCGATATCAGGACCTCCAGTCTCAAGTAAACGGTTGATCTCTAGATCTATGAGCCAGCGTCCAACGTTGTTAGTGTCTGAAACTAATCAATTCGCGACATTGTACGACCATCTTCTACTGTCTTCGGTGGGCAACTGCCTCACACCCGACACGATTCAACTCCACTAGTCACCGCATTTCACTAGTGAGAATCCGGAGGATTGGTAAGCTATTTACAGTGGTATTTGTGTATACTCGTAAATGTCTGTTACATATATCTGTACTTCACACAATGTATGCCACAGATTTGGCATGAACCACGTCTAATCAGATGTGATTGGTACAAACCAGCCATCTCAAACACTTCCTGTTACAGTCTGCCAACTTGCAATAAGATGCTCAAATTATATTCTTCAGCTACATTTCATATTTGGTTTTTTGATTCTTTTGGTTCACAGTTGTACTAGCTTCACTATTGTTTGAGAATTTTGTTGTGCATATTGCATTCCAACTTGAGTTAGCTAAGGACAAAACCATATACTGATGGAATCTTTTGGGATAGAGTGGTATTTATGGGCTCTGGATAGTTCCAAAGTGTGATTCATTAAGTGACCACATATGTCGAAGCCAAGTCATAGGGTTACAGGTACTTTTTATTGAGAAACAACTACTGAAATGTGGCTAAATATGTCACCCGATTTTGCTCAGAGATTAATTGTTCCACCTGAAGAATATTCGAAGAAAAAAACTGTGTTACTACTATCCCATTTTAACTTTCGATGTTCAGATGTTTATTTTTGTGTAGGGGATTTTATTTAGGTGCTTTAGAAGTGTGTCAAATTTTCAGGTCCCCGAAATCTTGCTCTAACTCTTAAGACCATCTGCATGCGTTGCACATTGAGGAGCATAAATAATCCATAATAATTTAATGAACGAATAAAATACAATTGAACCAAGTACAGAACTATCTAGAGGACTTGAGGTGGTAGGGAAATTCGGTAGCTCAGGTGGAGTTTTGTTCTCTGTACTGAATGGTTTGGTTTTGGACCTTTTATTGTTGCTTTGAAGAATATCAGCACAAACTTCAGGTAGAAGCGAATTTAGTTGGATGTTTGGTCATATCTAATCCCATCCGTACACCAACCGTTGCTCGTTTGCGAGGTAGGTGTTTCTTCGCAAATATTCGTCTGAACTATTGCAAAATGTGAAGAAATAGAGTTTGAAAGTAAACTGAACCTTTTTGCACTAGATTTTCAGGCCTTAATGGTTTGATATTATCAACATAGCGTATTTTATTCAGTTGATTGACATTGTTGGAAAAATATGTTTTGTTTCATTTTAGAACTTACTTTTCTGTAGACTTCTTGGGTTAGGGTCAAGTCATTTGTGGCGTTCTAGTTTTATTGCCCATCGTCGACTACACCAATCACTTCCATTTGAGATTTAACGCTTGGACTTGATGTAATTTTCTATCCTGGTACTTCGGCAACCACATCAGTAGAATTGGGATGCAAAACTCGGAATCTAAGTCAATAAGTTAGCAGTTTTGTAAAGGTCAAGGGCTTGCACAAACCAATCGATTTCCATGCTTTTGCTTCTTCTTATTTTTGTACGTTTTCGGGTATTTGGTCATGTTTAGTGGGTGGTAGTCCTGCCACCCGACAGCTCTAACCCTAGTCAGTCTGGTAATAACTTGGGGATTTATACATTTTGTGATTCAAGTGGGTGGGTTTGTCCCAAAGCGGTGGGTTTTCTGGATTCGAGCAGTTACCACATTACCAGTCAGACGGTTGGTTGATTGGAGTGTGAAAATAAAGTGGAAATTCGAGTGCTAGTAAGAGATGCTTGTTTCAAAAGACAAATAAGTTAATTAATTTGTGATGCAATCTGTTTGAAAAGATCAAAGTGTAAGAGTAGAAGGGTAAACGTATATGAAAATAAGCGAGATAGGAATAAGTAATGAGGGCGATGCCTATTTTTCAAAGTGCGTTGATATCAACCCTGGCCTAATTGCGCCACTCTGTCTTAGCATAAAGTAAGGAGTTTCATTTGCCTTGACTGCATCTTCTAATTAGTTTGGGTTAGTATCTAGGATCTGTGGTTTCTAGCCTAATATGGCACTATGAGGAGAAAACAGGAAGCATATTTTCACTGTAAATATATCAAACATAATGTTCATAGGATGACATTTCGACCCGTTTTTAAACATCCATTCCCTTATCTTTGTAAGGCCTTTTCAAGGCTTAATTCAGTCGACTTTGCTTTTTATGGATTTGCACGTTTTTGCATCGTCCATATAGGTTGGTGCCGCCAAGCTAATTTTATCCAAAAGGTCATTGGTGAATATCAGAAAAAATAAAGGACTTATGATGGCTCTTTGTGACACTCCAGGTAATTACACCCGCCAGCTCGCATGCGTACTCTGTTCACAATGATACGAAAAATCCTGTCCTGTAGGTGGTTTTCGAGTGAAGACAGGAGTGAGCCATTGAAACCCATGTACGCTACCTTGTCTATGGGAAGTACGTGCTGTACTGTGTCAAAGCCCTTTGCGAATTCAAAGGAAATTATGTCAATCTTTGAAGATTGAGGTGAGAGTAGTCTTTTTCTATTCCCTTGGCAATTGACGTAAACCTAATGAGCCCCGGAAGAGGTCGAAATCCGGTGCGCTGATGGTTTCTGTGCACCGTTTCAGGTTTATAGGTTGAATGTTGTCACTTCCTGGTGAATTTCCAAGGGGCAGTGATTTTAGCTTTTTTGTACTAACTTGGAAGTCATTTGGATATTACTCGAACCGTTAGCTGGCTCTACGGTTGGGGGGTTTCGCGCTTGTAA